TCTTTAAATATTTAACCTAATTCATTTCTGGTGGCATTTTTTGCGGATCCTCTGACATTTTTTTTAAAAATATTTTATCAGTTGTACATGTGGCCCTACAACAAGAGAGGTGAAGAATCCTCCCCAACGCTGGTGCTGAAGACAAGGCGCTCACTTCGGGCTGTTCATTTCCACCCACATGCTGCACCATTTCTTTTAACTGCCGAGGTAAATGAACTATATTGATTATCTACTCATGATATTTAAAATATGATGAAGTTGGAATATTTTAGATTAATATTGTTTTAATTGATGTGCAGGTCAATGATATTGACACTTCAGATTCCATCATGACAAAGGCGACGTCCCTTGGTTATTTACAATATCCTCCGCCTGCCGTTTTTGTGACAGGTGTTCATTCTAGGGAACATGTTAATTTCTCTAGTGAACTACCCCTCATGTCATCATTCTTCTTTATGCCTTCATATACTATGGATGACTCAAGAAGAGAACTACAGCGGGATAATCGTGTCTCTGGAGTTGAGTCTTCTGCTTCAGTGCAGCTTCAAGCAGACACAAATGCAACAAAACAAAATGATGCTGCAGTGTCTCCCATGGATACATCCTCTGAAATTCCATCTGGTTCTCAAACTAATACAGGGTATACTGCACATAACACTTTCCCTAATAGAATGGGATTTGGCATCACTAACGTCAAAATGGATGGTATGGCTATTGATGAAACAGAACCATCTGAAGGAAGACAACATGAAAACTCTACTAACGTCCATTCTTTAGTGGTGGACTGCATGGACTAACTAGACATGCTGAAAATCAAGATGCTCTTTCGGAATTAAGTCAATTTCTCCAGTTTGTCCCTTCAAGAGACTCAGATGGGTGGGAGCTACCTTTTCTTCAAGGATGGTTAATGGGTCAAAGCCTAGTTGGTGCTCCCTCTACGCTTTCTCGCATGGGTGGTAGTGGTGACGGTCTAGCTCAACAGATTAGTTCTACCATTCTGCCATTTAATTTGTCCCTTAGTAAAGTAGAGGAAGCAATGCCAGGGGGCATCACGATAGCCAGAGCTTCTGAAAGATCAGGTTTACAGAATCATTTCCCACATTCCCATGTACCAGAATCTGAATATGGGAACTATGTTGCTTCAGTTAATAAGCTGCATGATGGGACTGATATCCAAACCGTTGCAAGTCGGATACAGTCAGAACTTGCTACATCAATGGCAGCTGCTGCTTCTGCAGAGTTGCCTTGCACTGTGAAGCTAAGAGTTTGGTCGTATGATATACAAAATCCTTGTGCCCCCCTTAGTGGTGACAGTCGCCGTCTTAGCATACCGCATGCTGTCCTCTGCAGGTATAATTGTAATTGTAATTTGTATTATTGCTCAATAATGTACCTCCGAAAAAATTTGCTTATTTTTTTCAATGAGTTTTTTCCCCTGAAAGTTGTGAATCAGATTGCTTTGCGGGAAATTTTTCCCTAAAAAATTTTCATAAATATTGAGTGATTTGATCAAGTTATTCCAATGCAATTGTTGTTTTTTGTAATTTCATTTGCAATTTGCAATTGTCTTTGCAGTGAAATGGGGACACATTTCTCACCATGTGGTAGGTTTTTAGCTGCTTGTGTCGCATGTATGGTTCCTCATACTGAAGCTGATTCAGGGTTACAAGCACTGGTACACCAGGACGATGCAGGTGCAACTTCACCAACTCGACATCCAATCTCAGCACACCAAGTCATGTATGAGCTTCGGATATACTCCCTGGAGAAGGCAACGTAGGGCTTACTTCCTTTACCTTTTATCCACCCTGAAGAATTCCTTCAACCATTGTTTCTAAGCATTCTTCAATTTTCTCACTTCCACCCACTTTTTGTATAAGTGAAGTCATCTGGTTTTAGATAATTGCATAGTTCATGTTTTCTGAACAGGTTTGGATCAGTGCTTGCGTCTCGGGCAATCAGGGCAGCACATTGTTTAACTTCTATCCAGGTAGTTCAATACTTCTACTGTTAATTTTCTTGCTTCATCGTGTTGCTGGAGTAAATTTCGATTTTTCATAAATATATTTTTGGCAATCTCGTATTCTTGCTGCACTGCGCACTTATTTCTCATTCCACTCAAATTTTGCCTTCTGGATTTCTGTTGTCTGCTGCTCTGCTTACATTATGCTTTTTCTTTATTAACATCGTATTAAAATATGGTTTTAATAATTATCTGGATTGTATAACTTGAGACTGCTTAGTTTTATCGCTGGAGCAGAACTCTCTGTCTCTCTCTCACACACACAGAGACATAACTGTCTTTTTTCCCTTCCATGCCATTCCAATTTGGACTTTACAAAATAAAGTCGTTTGCATTACCAGTTCAAAGTTTTACTAGTAGCTAGCGTACTTCTGTTTGTTTTGATAAATGTTAAAAATTGGGCAACTGTTGTTTTATGTGTAGTTCTCGCCCACATCTGAGCACATACTGCTTGCATATGGTCGACGTCATGCCTCTCTTCTAAAATGCATTGCCATTGATGGGGAAACAACCCTGCCTTTTTATACAGTGTTAGAGGTAAATGCCTTTTGATCTTAAAATCGTTTTCTCATCTTAGATCTTACTTGCTCATCATTGTGAAATAACAGTCTTGCCCCTCCTATTGTAGTCTATATCTATAATATTTATGAAATTAACACATTTTCCATGACTTAAAACTTATATTGTCATTTTGGGTGGTCACAAGCTTTTCTTTGTAGTCCTGCATGGCCGTTTGTTGATTATTTTCAGTTGGTATTGCATATATGCCTTTTAGTACTTAGAAGCGTTTAAAGCTGAACTTCAGGTCCCTGAGTATGCTTTTATGTTCCAGGTGTATAGAGTATCAGATATGGAACTTGTCAATGTTCTTCCTAGTGCAGAGGACGAGGTCAATGTTGCTTGCTTTCATCCTTTTGCTGGGGGAGGGATTGTTTATGGAACAAAGGTATTACTTTGTTTGTGATCAAAAGATTACTATTTTTTAAGCATTCTTCAATTAATAATCTATAGTTTTTGGTTGTAGGAAGGAAAGCTTAGGGTGCTACAGTGTGATGGTGCTCATTCTGTGAATGGCACTTGACTAAGTTACCATCCTCGGTAGAGAGCAAAGTTGAACCCAATCAATGAGCAAGGTTCTATGTTATTTATTTTGGATTTCCTAATTTTATTGGAGAGCAGCAAATGATATGTGTATTTGGTGTGGTTTTTTCTTCCTTCTGGGGTCGATAAATGGTATACTGCTGGCATTTCTAGTGTAATGTGGGTTTCGTCCATTAAGTATGATATTTTTGCAATGATATGGTGCATTTGGTGGGAGCAAAATGCTTGATTTTCTATCATAAGATGCTAAACTGACGTTCATTAGGTCTTGATTCTCATTTTCATGAATCAGAGTGGATCACGTGTATCATCATCTTATTACTATTTTGTGACTAGTGGCAACTCCTTTTGATTGATTTGTACTGAGGTCCCAACAATTGACATGTTACATATTTATCCTTACCAAGTAATTGTCCGATTGTAGGTTGGGACAGATGATGGGGGTTTATCGTTCAGTAGTTCAGCATCACCTGGCACCACCTTTTCCTCTGCCAAGATGGTAGGTAGAAGACTCCGAACCCCCTAGCTCTCGGTTTGGTTGCATTTGTGGTGTAAGATGTAGACCATACTTCGCTCGATCTTTCAAGATTTGTTTCAAAAATTGCATTTCCTGGGTAAGAGTTTTTTCATTTGTTTCTCATTTCCTTGCAGCTGACGGCTGTCTCTGCTGATGATCATCTACACTAACCTAACTCCTTACCCGTTGCTGAGCACTGGGAATAGAACGCTAGAGCTTCCCTCCAGCACAAGCAAATGTATATGACATAGTTTTGTATGTTTATGCATTAATATGGCCCCTTGCTAACTTGTTAGTATCCCCTCTTTTCTCCAACCAAAAAGTCACTTTTGGATCTAATGTAACAAATTCAGTAATTGGAAAAAAGGGGGAAGTAAGTTAGAAAGCATGTGTTTTCTCTCAAGTTGAAGTTAGTAAAGTTCCCAAGCTCGTGAAGCGCAAGCCCAGCGGCTTTACGTGGCTGCATATGGCGTTGCAATTAACAAACGAGCTATACTACCCTTGAACTAAAATAACAATGGGACAATTGCATTGAAATTCCACGTGAGAAATATAATTGCTAAAACGTTTAAGTGATAATATGAGTAGTTTGCAATGATCAGTTACAAGGTAATAAATGACAACTTGTAATTCTTACAATAACAGTCAGTAGCATGATGCCTCCAACTGATCGTTTTGCCGGCTCCTTTTTTTTTTGGGCCAACAGAGCGTTTTAGTGGCTCCTGTGATCTATTCTTTCATAAATCTAGTTTGTATGGTTCGTATATTCTGGGACGAGGTTTTAGACTGCTCGCTATAAAGACATGGAAGATAACTTAAACCAGGGCTTCAAACCAATTTGTAGCTTCCGAATGATATGCAAGGGCGCCGCAAACCTTGGCAATTTTCCAGTTGAGTAGCGGGGACCCGGGATGCCTAGTGGTGAATGGAAGTCTTCGGCGAGAGGTAGAGAGATGATCTAATGAAGATGACCACAGTCACCGTCCTGAATCATGTGAGGTCCTTTTTTCTAACCCAATCTACAACGTAAAAGATAGTCTCATTGAATAAACTTCTATCCTTTTAGATCGGCGGATGATGAGAGGTGAACCCATGATTTTATAATTTTTTTTTAAAAAAAGATTGATAAATGGCCCCATGATTTTAAATTTTTAATTCACATTCTTTACTAAAAAAAAAATCTAATGGGGCTGACCCGGTCAAAGGAGAATTAAAAGCTGCATCGTTAACACGGAAATAAGATTGATTTGAACAGGACATTTGCATTGACTGATTGATTTCTCCTTTGACTAAAACTACCCTCGCACCGGGGCGATTCTCGACCAAACGGAATCGAGGAAAAAACCGAGCCACCGCAAGTTACCAAAATTGTGAACGAACGAATATGAAAAAGAATAGATTGATGAATGAAAATCTACAACTGAGAAATTGATACAGTCCGCTAAGAAGAAGAAGAAGGTGACTCAAATTTATAGTATTTATCGACGGCTAGAGAGACATCCCAAGTGCAACTGAGACCTTTAGGGATGATAACAAGATCGCCGGCACCAAACTCCACAAAGTCCGACGACCCTTTCGGGTATGCTTTCACCTTCCCTTTCAACAGATAACATGTCTCCTCTGCATCAAACTTCAACTGGTACTTTCCTGGAGAGCAACCCCATCTTTTATTTTGTCCCCAGATAAACACACCCATCCCCACCACCAAAAAGAAACAAGTCATATTTCGATTCACAAGTCAGAACCCACACGGAGCAAGGGAGAAGAAGGACATACTTGGGCCAGCAGTTGATGTTCAGCTCAGCCAGGCGAGACTCTGGAGGGTTTCTCTCAATGATGATTCTGAGGTTTGAATTGGATTCTGCTGCGGCCATGAAGGGAGAGAATGATGGGGTAAAAAAGGCAGAGACAGAAAACGAGTATGAGGAAAGATCTTTGGGTTCATGCAGTGTGGGACTTCTGGAAAGGAAAAGGAAGGAATCTTTTGGCAGTGTTAGAAGAAGAGGATAAGAGACATTGAAAATATGTTAAAATAAATACTCCTTATTCACCTATCCACTTCATGTCCGCTCTGCATTTTTTCAACAAATTCATTTAATGACCCTTTGACCTCTTGTGGATATGAGACCCAACTGTCCCATGTCCAACCCCATCGTGGAAGCCAAATTTTAGTTCAGTTTAGTTTTTTTTTTCGTTTTCTTTTTCATCGTGTGTAGGTTACAAGGTTGCCCTCTCCGAGTACGCTGATTCCTCTTGAGATTAATTTCTTAGCATCGCACAAGACTCCAACTGCCACACATTATACGCAAATACTAGTATAGCATTTTTTACATATTGACTTGTTATTTGCTTTTGAAGAATTTTAATAAACGACATATTTATTCTCAATGGCACAAAATTTATATACGAGGGTTCTCAGCTTGACCTCGTCATTTCCTATAATTTCCTGAACTTTTGTTTGCATTTAAAAATATAAATGGCACCGAATACCGATGCCATTGCTGTTTTGTGAAAGCCATGTGACTATATGAGGGCTCTCACAGATTATGATATCTTGTCGGTGGCATTCGTTCAAAAAAGTCTCTTAATTTTATTTTTTTTCTTAACAACCAAAGATATTTTAATTAAAAGACTCGTACATCACATCTCACAACCTCACGACGGCAGTCCTACGGTTGCTGGAAACCAATGCCTCCATGATAAATTAAAGAAAAAAAAGTGGGAAAAGCGACTCGAGGGAGTTTGACTCTCTTTTTTGGTTATTTCGATCAAAGCAGATACATGCGTAATACACCTCTCATCCTATTTAAATGTTACTTCTAACCTATTTCACGTAAACAATAAAAAATCTTAAATTTTATTAATTCTCGTTTAAAATTTAACAATTTTTAAATTTTATTTTTATTTTATATACATAATACCTCATGCAAACAAGGGATAAGAGAAGTAATATTTTGACATCATCTGAGGCCAGATTAAAAAACCAAGACGAGAATTCTCGTGAAATATGTGAATATCATATTGAGATCACAAAATGCTGTATTTTCAATGCAATTCTTAGGAATTTTTTTGGTATTAAGTTTCTACTTAGAATGATCTCACTATCCTTATATCTAAAAAAAACTCATTTTTACCAAAAAATGAGTTTTTTTTTTGCATATAAAAAATTAATTTTAGAAAAGTTCCTACTGTGAAAATGAGCAACCCATTTAACCATTTTAATTTAACTGTTGAGTCCGTGGACCGCTTAGAGATCCGGCCCTAACTTCCTGTCCAACTCTAAGCCCGGAATACAAACCCGTTCGGGTCACGTCCAAGCTATTATCGCCATGAACTCGGGGCGGGCCCAGTACAGGCCATATATAATGGACTTCTTTTCGCGTCTATCTTTTATCTGATATTGAATTATTGATATTACCTAGCAAGCTCACTGTCCCTGTCTGATCTTGTGCCCATTCTGTGTGGTTCCGATCGCCTTCATGGCTACTCAAGGTCAAGTCATTACCTGCAAAGGTATTTTCTCATTCTTCCCTCATTCTATTCGGCTTGCAGATGCATTTTGTTTCCCCTGAACTAGGGGGTCCCTAACCGGGTTGCACTGTTTATGGTGTTGGGGTTAATCTCTTGCTAAAGCTGCGGTGGCCTGGGAACCCAAGAAGCCATTGACTATTGAAGATGTTCAGGTGGCCCCACCGCAGGCTGGCGAGGTTCGAATCAAGATTCTTTACACTGCTCTCTGTCACACTGATGCTTACACTTGGAGCGGCCAGGTATATGCATTTTGATTCCCACTTCCTGATTTTGATTTTCCGCGCCGTCCAATCAGTAAAATGGACGGCAATTTGGAAGGGTGTTTTCTAACAAATGAATACCCAATGCATGATCAATGCCGGATTTTGGGTAGAGGCCTGATATTAAAATTAGATATTCGAAATGAAATAATTTTTGGTCGGATTTAGCTTTAGCCTTGGGATATCCGGTGGCCTTACCGAAGGAGCGATGCCCGGTAGGTTTAGTTACCCAACTTTATTCATCACTTTTTTTTTTTTCTGTGTGGCTAGACTATTGCATATTCTTCTCTATACTTCGGTTTGGAATATCTGGCCATTCAATTCATGCAGATAGTCTGAGATACTTTAACATGTGATAAGTTTAGAACAACTTCTAGATATCTCCCTTCCATTTGTACTGCAAGAATATTATAACGCATGTTATTAGCATATGAAATTGTCTCTTGTATGAAATTTGTTTAAATTGATATACAGGATCCAGAAGGTCTCTTCCCGTGTATTCTTGGTCATGAAGCTGCCGGGTAAATGACAGATAAGTTTAAGCTACAACCTATAGACATATGCATCAGCAGACCTGACGGCGTTGGAATTTACATTTTGGCGCAGGATTGTGGAAAGTGTTGGAGAAGGTGTTACTGAAGTTCAACCTGGAGATCATGTCATACCCTGTTACCAGGCTGAATGTAAAGAATGCAAGTTTTGCAAATCTGGCAAAACAAACCTTTGTGGCAAAGTCCGTTCTGCCACTGGAGCTGGGGTCATGCTGAGCGACCGCAAGAGTCGTTTCTCTATTAATGGAAAGCCCATCTATCATTTTATGGGAACCTCAACTTTTAGTCAATACACTGTTGTTCATGATGTTAGTGTGGCCAAGATCGATCCAAAAGCCCCTCTAGAGAAGGTTTGTCTTCTTGGATGTGGTGTCCCAACTGGTAAGTATTTTAGCTTTGCTAGTAGAAAAAAATTTGAGGCTGACCAAATATCTAGAAATAGTTTATGGTTTGAAATAAGTCAGCAGTGTAGTTCAGGATGTTTCAGATATGTTCAAAGATGTGTGGAACAACATGATGGAAAGGTATAGTCCTCATGTGCCATAAAGTCTGTTGCTGATTTGCTCTTGATTAAGTATTAGACTATGCAGCGATAAAAGATAATTGTTATTGGATTTTAATGACGTGGGAGTCACGTTTTTTGTCATAACTACGATTGGTGTTATTGTGTTGAGCTCTCTTAATTGACGTTTCAAACAGGGAATGATGTTATGAGTGTCTTCTTGATTTGATTGCTAGAACCCTTAGTCCATTGCCAGTTTTTTGTTATTGTTTTGTCTAATTATTTATCTTAATGTTAACACATTTCAGAAAGTATGGGCAGAAACTAATTTAGATTTGTTTAGGTCTTGGAGCTGTCTGGAACACTGCAAAGGTTGAGCCAGGTTCAATTGTAGCTATTTTTGGCCTTGGCACTGTTGGGCTTGCTGTAAGCTTCTACAAAAGCAAAGCACATATTTGTATTTTTGCCTGGTTCTGAACTGCTGTTGTAATACATGGTTACACTTAACAGGTTGCAGAGGGTGCAAAAACTGCTGGTGCATCACGGATTATTGGCATAGACATTGACAGCAAAAAGTTTGATATAGGTACATCATGAGCTTGCTTGATTTTATGCGTCTGATTCTGTGCATTTGTCAACATAGAGACTCATCACCAGGAGTCTGATAACTGAAAATCAATTTTTTGACTGAGCCATTTGATAAAGGAAGAAGATAAATGCTATTTTCTTTTAAAGATATTTGCCCTCGCGAGCAGAATAATATCACTCTGTAATTCTATTCCATATATCTAGTGGTTTGTTGGTTTTCTTCTGTCACAGTACTTTTATTAATCTTGTCGTATGTGATATTTCCTGTTCATTTGTTCAATTGACTATGGAACTAGGTGATACTAAAGAAGAGGTACTTCATGTTATATGTGGCCTTTAAAAATTTAAAAAGTGTTTAAATGCGTCTTCTTCGCTACAATTCCTTGCAGCAAAGAACTTTGGCGTAACTGAATTTTTAAATCCAAAAGATCACGAGAAACCAATACAGCAGGTCATAGTTGATCACACAGATGGTGGAGTTGATTACAGTTTTGAGTGCATTGGAAATGTCGCAGTGATGAGGTCTGCTTTGGAATGCTGTCATAAGGTGAGGGCCGCTGCTGTCTCATGGTCAGCTTTACAGCTCAAATGTTATGATATGGTTCTTGCAAATATTGATGTGTGTTTACGTGTCAAATCAGGGCTGGGGGACATCAGTTATTGTGGGTGTTGCAGGATCAGGACAAGAAATATCAACTCGCCCTTTCCAGTTGGTGACTGGTCGTGTCTGGAAGGGAACTGCTTTCGGTGGCTTCAAAAGCCGGTCACAAGTTCCTATGCTTGTAGACAAGTACATGAAGAAGGTAATGGATCTCCATTCTTGTTCCTATGCATGGACACGTTAGCCATAGACCATAGTATTCATGACTCATGAGTGCTGTGTTGTCTGCTTCATTTGTTTTCACAGGAAATCAAGATCGATGAGTACATTACCCACAGTTTAACTCTTCCGGAGATCAACAAAGCTTTTGATCTCATGCATGAAGGTGGGTGCCTCCGATGTGTGCTTGCGGTGCATGTATGAGGTGATCTTGACGAGCCTTTCCAAGTTTCAAATGTTAAGCTGCCTTTTCTTTCTCGCGTGATGGTTGAAGGAAAATAAATAACCTTTTGTGTTGTGTCTTATATGTGGCCCAGAAAAGTATTGTGTCTTGTATCGGCATTGTCCTATGTTGCGTGATAAACTAGCGGGTATTGAGCTTCTACTGAATCATGCTATGTGTGAGGATCATTTTGAGTTGACTGGCATCCTGACCTGGTTCCTGTGATTTCGTTTCCTCCATAATTTTTACGTGCCCAAGTTTACTTAGCAGTGGAGGAGTTGGCGCTAAGCGATGAAGCATATATTTTTGAAGCGAATTCGTGTTAATGCATGTTTGGCACGTTTTCAATGCAATACAACAAAACGCTATTTTATTATGAACGTGAATGTGAAAAGCGGATTCACATGATGGGGTGAATGAAGCTGGCAGGGTCGACCCTTATTCTCATGTAAAATTAAGAAGGGGGACGGGGGGCCTACATCTCATTCTAGTTCCAACCAAGCATATGATCGTCTAAAGTGGACCATCAGGTCTTGGGCCTAAACAAATGGTAATCATGACACAAGCAACCTTCAAACCCGTGCATTTATTGAGCTGTTCGGGTAGAAATAAAAATATGTATGACTTTGAAAGTATTTTTACAGTGTATAAAGTAAATATGTAGGGAAGTTTATCTTGATTTAAGAATAAAGTATTTTTATAAAGTATTTTTTTTGGGTTATTCAAACATCCTCTGAATAATGCAATATCAAGCAACTTCATGACCGGACAAGTGGCAGCGGGGGTTCCTTATCATTGGAACTAGATTTAATAGTAAAAGACGATGAGCCCTGACCCCATCACATTTTGGAGGGAATCAACAGTGCGTCAGCCATGGGAATAAGGATTGCCATGGAAATGGAATCCAAAACGCAAAAGTCCGTCCAACCCCATATATTTGGATAGAAATCCTCGTTGGATTCCCAAGTGTCCGGGAAAAATTCACACCAGCCAGACATGGCATTAGCGGATTTGTTCTAGCCAAACATATGGTGGCGTAAAGAAGAACCGTCAGATCTTAGGCTCAAAACAGAATCATGACACCAAGAGCCATCATCAAGCTTGTACAATGTAACATCAAAGAAAGTCGCATGACCTAAAAAAGAGAAAGACGGAAAGTGGTAGCCTAGTATCTTATGGTCACAAACTATGCCAATTTTGAGAAACGAAGTAAAAGACGTTTTCCAAATAAAAAGATTAAACGGCGGAAGATCCCATCCTCATGGCCCCAAATGCGCTTTTTTGAGCAAGCTCCATCTCCTCGTTATTATACACATAAGCCAATCCACCATGGCTAGTAACATCCAATCCAGCCATTTCCTCATCGGGTGAGATCCTCAAAAGCTTCAATTTATGAAGCAAGAAGAAGAGCGTTCCCATAGTAACACTAACCCAAGCCAGGATCACCAAAATCTGAACAACGTGTGCTCCCAATAGCTTCCCTCCTCCTCCCATCAACAAACCATATGGCCTACCAGGAACCCCTGGATATACCTCGTTCACATACTCTTTTCTTGCAAATAGTGCTGTGAAGATTATGCCCCATGCCCCACAACCTCCATGAAGCTGTGCAGCCTCCAATGGATCATCGTACTTCAACTTTTCTGCTACAACGTTGAAGCCAATGAGCACCCAAGCCGCCACAAACCCGCACAAGATTGCTGCCCATGGGTCAACCACGGAGCAACCTGAGGTTATGGCTGCGAATCCTCCCAGGAGTCCATTGCACACGTCTGTCACATTCCAGTGTCCACTCAGAAGGCGTTTGCCGAACAGGGTGGTCAGCGCCGCCGCGCAACCGGCCAGTGTTGTGGTCACGGCTGTTCTACCGATCGCACTCCATTGCCCGTAGTATGAACCTGAAGCGTTATAGGTCTTCGTGATTGTGAGGAAGGATCCTGGGTTGAATCCGTACCATCCAAACCATAACAAGAATGTGCCAAGGACAACCAAGGTTCCGCTGTGCCCTCGCATGGCCACAGGTTTTCCTTCGTGATCGAATCTGCCTATACGTGGGCCTTCGATAAAGGCACCCCAGAAGCCGGCGACGGCGCCCACCAAGTGGACGACGCCGGAGCCTGCGAAATCGATGACCCCGGATCCAAATAAGAGATTGTGAGAGCGAGAAGGGCTGCCCCAACCATCCGCAGACCAGAACCAGTGAGAGACTATGGGATAGACCAATCCTGTTAAGAATGATGAATAAATCAAATAGGCGACGAACTGGGTTCTCTCCGCAATGGAACCGCTGGTGATTCCAGCGGCGGCGATGGCAAACGCCCATTGGTAGAGAAAATACCCGTAATCAAAAGATGGCGAAGGGAACTTTTCGAGGCCGAAAAAGTGTTGCCCAATGAACCCATTTGATGGTGAACCATAAGACAAGGCGAATCCGAAAAGGTAATAGAAAATGCCACCAGTCGAAGCGTCAAGCACATTCGTGAGCATAATATTCATGGTGTTCTTGGCTCGCACAGAGCCAGCACAGAGCATAGCGAAGCCAAGCTGCATCGCAAATACAAGGTAGGCGGAAAAGAGAAGGTAGGTGTTATCGACGGCATAGGCGGTAGCAACAAACTCGTTGGAAATATCTTCGAAACGTTTACAAATGTAATCGGCGGCGGCAGAAGAATTGGCTGTTTCAGCAAGAAGAGAGTGGAGATCAGCGGCGGAACATGTGAGAGCAGTCATGGCTGAGAGAGTATGGAAAAAGCTTGTGGGTGCGTGTAGAAGAAAGGGCCGAGAATGTTCGTGGGGAAGACGACTATTTTAGTATTTTTGTTGTTAGTGAAGAGAGCGAGTCCTAAGCAAAGATTCTAGAGAGAGAGAGAGAGAGAATATTTCTTTGAAATGATTCACCGAAGAAGAAGAAGAGGAAGAAGCAGCAAGAGTATAAATGAATTTCAATGGCTAACAAGGACGCGGTATGGAATCTTTGAGATCGATGGGATCTATTAATAGGAGCGAGATTGGGGGGGACTGTATCATAACTGCCATGAAACCTGGTCCACGTCAATATCAGAAAATGGGGAAGGATCGCCCTTTGAAATCCAAACCCATAAATACTTTCCTTATTTATTTTGATTTACTCCTCCGATCCTAATTATAAGACCCAATTGACTTATTTGAGGAGATTAAGGAAGTAAGTTAAGTTGGTTATTTGTAATAAATAAGTGTTGTCATTCCTAAAATATCCTTGCTAATTAAGTATATTGGCTAAAACTATCATTATTAGAAGGATTATCTTGGAAAAAAATACATAAATATAAGAGACAAAATGGATTGGGTCTTATAATTAGGACCAAATAAAAAGTCAAATTGGGTCTTATAATAAGGACCGGAGGAGTAACATTAATTACACAGCGTCATTTTGTATTTGGCAGGTAGAGATTGAGCTGTCAACATGTTAAATTTGAATCATTTTATGCACGGTTAAAGTTCGATAGTTAATATAAGTGTTTGTTTAGTTTTTAATTTGATTCTAAATATAAGATTTTAATTTATTTTATCTATTATATTTGTCTATTTTTTCAAGATAATTCTTATAGTAGTTGTACATGCTAAATATTTCATCAAATGATATTTGATTAGTAAAGATGTTTTAGGAAAAACAATACCTATTTATTATAAATAACTGACTTAACTAATTATTTCAATTTACTTAAATTAATCAACTAGCTCTTATACTAAGAATAAAAAATTGTATTATTATATACTCTGCTTTATATAAGGTGTTTTAGATATTTGTTTGCATAAATTAGGAAAAGTTGTTAGATTGTTTTGTTTATTCAAAAACATCCCAACATTTGAATTATACTCGTATTATCTAAACGAATATCTCGAAATGCCTTCCTCAAATTACTCCCCAAAAAAAAAAAAAATTCTTAGGGGTGAAAATTAAACAATATTTAATATTTTGGCTAATAAGGAGGCAGATCAAATAAGTTGATTTTTTTTTCAATATTTAGCACTTTTATTCCATTACATGAAATATAATAATTAACATATTTCCTGGGGAAAAAAGAAGTATAATTTAATCTCTCTACAATTGCATGGACATTTCATGGTTGAAACAGAAGAGTGTTTGGTTTAGTTTATTTTAAGTTATTTTTTATTGTACTATCTCCGATTCTAATTATAAGATTTCATTTTTAGTTTACAAATGAGATCTTATAATTAAGACCGGAAATAGTATGAAGTAAATATGTCAAAAAAAAGTTTTTGTTTAGTAAAATAGAAATGTGTTCTTTTAGGAGGAGCCAAACAAGCAAAGTGGATTTTCATTTTCCTTTTTAATATTTAGCAGTTTTTAATTCCATAATTAACGAAGTTTTGGGAAAATAAGAAGAATCCCATCTCTCTTCAGCAATTGCAAGGACAACTCAAGATCAATGAACATGTCTAGGGGAATGAATCTAGAATCTAGGGTTCAATATGAGGTCCAAAACCCAGGCCAAGGTGGTTCATTCGTTCATTTGTTTATATTTTGTGAAGACTTGTCTCGTAGTGAGAGAAACGCATGGACATTGCAAGATTCAAAGCAGAAAATCCATCACCATTCCGTGGTCCTCGTGGTTGCTTCCACCCATACGGAAGTGGCCAACTCATGGGATTCACTACTCGATTTCTAGGCCTCACGCCCCCCCATTTGTCCCCCACCCCAAACCATTATTCATTTGTTCTCCCCCTCACTCTGTCCCTTTACTGTACGCATTATCTCCGTTTTCTCTCATTTTTTATTAGCTAAAATATATATTTAGCCTTCTGACTTTAAAAAGTATATATTTAGTTTTTTTTATGACATATATTTAGTCCTTTAACCGTAAATTCATTAGGCTTTACTGATGATTTTTTATAACAATCATGAATATTTTGAAAATTAAACTTAATATGTTAGCATTTAAAAATATTTTATCAACACTTAAAATCTTAATGTCATTATTTTTTTAAAAAAATTTAAGATTAAAAGACTAAAAATATACTTTTTTAAATTAATAGACGAAATTAAAACCTTATTCAAAGTTAAAGAACAAAATATATGCTTTAACCTTCTTTATTTTAATCAAATCACAAAATATAGTAACGTCCAATCCAACTCCCAGCCTCATTCCGTTTAAGTTTTATTCAAATTGATCTCAGTATAGACATGTCTGCGATCCAGCTCTGGTCCAAGTTATCAACAATACCACAAATATCGTAGAAGAAGTTAGTCAAAATCCGAGTCTTTCTAATGTGCTTAGCAGAACAAGATCATCCCTAACAAGAAAATACGTGTTTCGCCCCAAAAATAAAAAAGCACTACACATGCAAAAGTAATGTTGCCTTTTTTTTTTATATAGTATTTGAGAACAAAGACGATCAACGTAAGCCGCGGTTACATTATTATTATTATTATTATTTTTTAAAGAAAACACAGCGTCCAGCCGTCGAGCACAAACTCATTTCCAGTTAAAAAGTTTTTTTTTGGGGGGGGGGGGGGGGGAAGCACGCGGGCAGAGCTCAACTTCATACCCTTTTTTTAACAAGTGGCACCCCCTTGGGCCTCCGGGGGAGGGACGCCGACCTAGTGCGATATTAAAACTGACTCAAGTGGAGGTTGTTCCCCCTTTTTTTTTTTTTCTTAATTGGGGGATTGGGGGTGTCCGTAGCTATTAGCTAGTAAATCGACTGATAAATTGTCATAGAAAGAGTAAAGAATATGATACACTGAAACTGGTGGTCTGTCCCAGATTTTATGTTACTAAGATGGCCTAAAATCCTCACTCACAAAACAGGCGCAAATTTCAGTCCTTTTTTCCAAAGCACTGTGTAATATTAGCTGGTGACTTCATGAGCAACTACCTTGTGTGCCTTCAAAGGTGGGATGCAACCAATTGTGTCAGATGTGAGAGGACAATAACAACATCGACAAATATGGGAGCTTAGTTAGACTCAACTAGAGTCTCTAGAGACATTCGCTTTCTCCAATAAACGCTTGTTGCCGTCTCTTCATACGCTTGGGGGAGCCCATTTTCCAGCTTTGAACTTGCCATAAAAGCTGGATCGCTTTGAAACAACATAGAATACTGCAAATGCACGGTGTAATTAGACGAAATTCTAAACAGAATAATTGGGAGACGGACCAAAAAGAAAAAGCCTTTTAAGTGAATTATATGACACCTGGGATGCCAGGGATAATAAAATTGGGGTCCTTCAGAACATCATGGAGCGTCGTCATTTCATTTACTTTGACCCATTTAGGAGCGCCTGATCAAAATCAGAGATCACATAAACTTTAGTTTCTTGTCACAGAGAAAACAAGGCCATTCATTAGGCAACTTCTTGAAAGAGCAGTGCTATACCACTCTGATCCTTTTTAATTATCACTTATAGGAAGGGATTTTGGGCCTTTTTAATTTGTCACTTGTACCTTTTTAATGCTTCGTTTCCAATTATATCCCTATTAATTAAGGGAGACAAATGTAAAGATGAAGAGAGAGGGAATAAGTGGAAAAATATATACTAGCTATTTAATATGGGTAAAAGTAAAAGATTTTATTTGTTTAATGATCTCCTTGGCATGTGAGAAACTACTACAAGTGACAATTAAAAAGGACCAAAGTGGCATGTCAAAAGTGATTCTAATTTCAGTTTCAGGAATTGCATCCAAAGTAATTACCCATCATTGCTTTCCAATCACAATTATAATTACAAGAATTATTTTTTTGATCCCATTTCTAGCAAGGAGGAACCAATATGGTTGATCTAACAGGAACTGAGTCCACGCAAACAAGTCCTTAAATACATATAGCCACAAGAACTGAATAAAATTTGTAATCAAAATTAACTCAATCTAACTCAGCATCTCTAAGCAACTTATACCCATCATTGCTTTCCAATCACAATTATAATTACAAGAATTATTTTTTTGATCCCATTTCTAGCAAGAAGGAACCAATATGGTTGATCTAACAGGAACTGAGTCCACACAAACAAGTCCTTAAATACATATAGCCACAAGAACTGAATAAAATTTGTAATCAAAATTAACTCAACATCTCTAAGCAACTTATGACTTCTCATCATCGCGTAAGAGCAGAATTTAGGCCAAATAAGGAGTTCTTTGAGGACATTAAGGTTAATATGAAGCATAAGGACGAAGACAAGGAAAATCATTTGATTGTAGGTTAAAAAAAACTGGTTCAACATAAATCTAGAGCAATATATGCTTTCCCTCTCTTTTCACATCCTTAGAAACCAAGCAATACAACCCTAGGGCAGCATAAACCACTACTGCAGGGCAGGGCAATGGGATACACAGCAAAACCATGACATCAGTTTCGAAAGAGGGCAGCAACTCCAAAAGCAACATACCTGTGTTGACATGGTTAGTACCATGAGCTGCATCTTTCTCTTCATCGCCGAAACTTTCATGCTGAGATGCTGCAGTTCCCTCTAATAAACAATGAAGAAGTTTTGCCTTTGAGAGACAAACTCCAGAACCAGCCTGATGTTACCAGGTCCAAAAGATGGGGAAAAAGGTGAATAACTTTTGATTAAAAATGTCACACATATGTTCTTCCTCGAAAAAAGGGTCAAACACGGTGAACGTTGCCTTTGGCATTAAGTGAATTTAGTTTGCAGCCAAGGTGAGTAGCAGTTTACAGTCATAAGTATTAACTACATATTGCTCACAAAACTGCAATTATCCTTGCTAGATTAAGTACCAACTTACCTATCTCAGCAATCAAAACAGCTGGTATATTTGAGTACTAACATATGCACACTAAAGTAACATTTAATTTGAAGCCATATATCCTTAGTTTTAATGAACCAAATTTTAAACTTTTACAATTGAGAAGGCATTCCTGATATGGTCTTTCTACATGTGGAGTTCAACATACCAAAGAACGCTACATACTCATGAGTCATGAATCAATAAGTCTTTCAAACAAAGGTACAAGTCCAGAAAGAAATCAAACTCATCATGTAGAAAGTTTAAAATGAGAGCCTACCTCATAGTATAATTCAATGAATTCACGTTTGTAATTGTTTTGATCATCCCATGGCAAAGGCTGATCTTCTGCAAACATGTTTGATGGTTAAGGGTGCAACAAGCTTACATACATAAAACTCATTAAGATATAAATCATACAAAGCAATTTAAAGAAAAGGATATCATATCAAGATGAGCTGAAAACATGTCAGTCTCACAGAAATCTTCAATGAAGTCACTAGACATAACCTCTGCATACAGGAGAAGAACAGGCCAATGAAGAATATTATTTTTGTCTAATACCGGTTTTTTAAGTCCGGTAAGCTCTTGAAACATTGCCTTCCCAATCTTCAAGCTTCTACTTTCTATTGCCGACACAAGTTCCTGCAAAGTTTTGTAAACAAAAAATATAAAACTTCAATAAATAAACCAAAGGTCAAGCACTGCAGACAAGATTATATAACCTTTGCCCCTGCAACAGCTTTGGAGACTTCAGCTTCACGCTTGTCCTCTTCTGCTTTCTTTAGATCAACCTGTTCGCCAAGCTTCTTCAATTCTTCATTATTTGGGTCCAACTGAAGGCCGTTTCGACAGTGAGATTGAGCTTCAGCCAACAAATTTAATGAAAGAGATGCTTTGGCAGCTCTATAAATTGCCTGTAAACGGTTGGTATTGCTTTAAGACTTTGGTTCAGAAGTACAGGGACCCAATATAACCTTACAAAGCTTTTCAGAAGGCAGTGTTGCAAATAAAAGCACAATACCTTTATATTTGAGGGGCACGACTTAATTGCCTCCTCCGCATCCGTTAGAGCACGTCTATAATTTCCTAGCAGCAAATTTACATGTGCTCTATTTGCCAAAAGAACTGAGTTCTCTGAGTCGCTCAAGACTTGCTGATTTATTGCCCTTGTGTAACAATCAATAGCATCAGAATAATGTTTTTTACCCATTTTGACATATTGATTGCCCTTTTCCTGAAAAGTGAATAGAAGGGTAACATTGTGAAAACTAGAAAGCTAGAGTGAAGATTGAAAACAGAAAAGGCAAAACAACGCTGTCAGCATTCCGAAGGTTACTCAGAACAACTTGAAGCAAGATTGTACCATTTTCTTTATGAACAAGGCAACAGGCTAAGCAAGACCATCCCATCTAGTCTAATGTCTATCTGGAACTTTACAAAACCTCAAATTATTGTCATCTTTATTGACATTGCATGAAAACTAATCTCCAAAGAAACAATAAATTTTTCATCTATTGACAACATGTCGTCTGTGATAAAATCATGCTCCCTTCTAAAGTTTAAACCAATCTCATCAGGAAACCAAAAAAAAAAAATGACAATAAAATATAAGAATATTATGCATCCAAGGTCACGACATCGTTTCCTGTGCATAAATAAATCCATAATTCAATATCTCGAAATTTAATTGGACAGTTGATGCAAGGAAAATCTTCAACAAGCACAACTCTAATGAAATTAAAGAAGATTTGACAGTTTGACACACCCAGTCCTAACATACATGGAAACTGCAAAACAAGATTCAAACTTTTATGCGTCTCAACAAAGTAAGCAGCCTTACACAGCTAACTCGAGTATCTATGGCGCCACTCGTCATCAATCATCAAATGAAGAAAAAATTATAATCTTCTCGAATTAATCTCTAAAGGAATGTAAGGGGCCACTGGCAATAATGGAGAACCAACCAAAAAAAAAAATCTATAGACACAGGATGAGAGACAATACAGTTGAAGTGCGAAAGAGAAACCTTGAGTTCGATAGCAGCGGACTCTTTCAGAGCAGCAATAGCATCAAGGTCTGCTTTCTCTCTTTCGGTCAAGGGCTCAGAACCCTTTTCCATCCATAGCGCCATCCTTGCTTTGCAGGGTTCGCCAAGTTACACTGTCCCTCACTGCGACTGGGAGCTTGAGAAACTACTAGAAACTCAGCTTCGAAACGAGACTTCGTTGGCACTTCAGAAAGGCGCTCGCAGAAAAAACCCGCGCCACCACCCGAGGTTGTTTTTACGAATTGACCGAATTTTTTGTAATTTACGGCCCTTCTATACACACACACATATATGGCAAAAAAAACAGACCTCGATACAGAGGGACCCGCTATGGCCATCATTTTCCTTTTTGGAGGTTATTGTTTGCATGCAAGCTTCAGGGAGTATTTGGCAATATGAAAACCATGGTTTCAGAAGCACTTTTTCGTAAAACGAGGCAAATTCCTTCACATATTTACTTCGTAAATCGTAAAAGCACTTCTGAAACCATGGTTTGGTTTCTATCCAAACACCCCCTTACTCTATTGTGTCTCTGTAAAATTGTCTCAGTAAAATTCCAATAACGGCTCACGTCATTTTGAAAAGTATTTAAATAGAAATCAAATTATGATTGTAAAAATATTTTTACAAAATATATATATATAAAAGTTTATCTTATTTTACAAAAAAATATTTTTTAGAAATACTTTTAAGAGTTGTCAAACAGTCTTTTAATCTTATATGATATTCATCCAGTTCACTCTATTATGTCAATAACACAGCTCATATCCTTTTAGTTTTAACTGGCCTTCACTTAATTTATTTTATTATCTCAGTGAAACATCAATAATACAACTCACATCTTTTAAATTCTAGGTGGCATTTGCTTGATTAACTCTTTATTTCAGTAAAATTTTAATAACAGCTCATATCATTTTAATTTTAACTAGTATTTACTGTAGCATCTACCTCTGATCTTTAATATAAAATCTTGTTTAATTTTTATTTTAGTCTTAAATATAAGATCCCAATTCACTTTGTTTCTCATATTTATACAATTTTTTTCAAGATAGTCCTTCTAATAATTACAGTTTTAATCAACACACTTGATTAATAAAAACATTATAAGAAAAGTAATACATATTTATTATAAATAAATAATTTAATTTATTTTTTTAATTTTCTCAAATTAGTTAACTAGTTTTTGTAACTAGGACCGGATATAGTATCTTAGTAAATTATAATAACTCACGTCTTAGCTGGCACTCACTGTCACTCTACTATTTAAGTAAATTCTCCATGCCTGAGCGTCTCTTCATAGCTCCCTCGTCTGCGAATGCAGCTCCCTAGGGCTCTTATGCCTTCATCACTTGTTCAATATCTTCACGGACCAAACGTCGAGAGAAGAGAAGTCGAGATGAAACCAACGTCGGCCGTCGCTTTCGCCGTCGTTCACGTAGATGACTGGTTGATTTTCTCGTAAGTGTTCTCCAAGTCGTCCTTCTCCTTCGACGCGATTCGTTCGTCTCCACCATATCTCCGTCTTCCGGCTACGCAATATAGGCTAGAAATATCCTCTATATGCTTCCTTTCAGTTCAGTAGGTAAGTGTTTGTCTCGTTTGAGTTTAAAATCAAATTTATCCACCAATGTCTAGGTAAAACCTCTAATTCTCTATTCAATTGATAAAGTCTGTATCCAAGCTCTTTCCAAATTTCTTCGAACTTACCTCCTCTTAATCCAAATCAAGGGTTGGTTCAAGTTCTGTTAAGGAGTTTGCCGGTGCAGTGTGTTTTGTACGTAAAATTCTGTAAATTTTGTTGATTAAGGTGAAGATTAATTTCTGAACTCGATACATCTTTTATAGTTTTTAATTAATTTTTCATCAGCTTTTTCAGTTAATAATTTCAATAATAATTATATAAAGCGGACATACGACTGCTTAATTAAAGGAATATATCTGATATAATTTTTTGCCAGCCGAGGAATATATTTAATTATAGAGAAATAAAGGGGGAAATGTGAGTTTAGATTAGATCAAAGAAAGGAAGAGTTATTAATCCGTTTATGCGGTCTAAATACGTTGCAAAATTTGAATAAAAAAATTAAATCCATTTTTTCTTCCCCAGGATTTTTAAGACTTAAAGCTGTAATTCATTTGAAATTGTATTATTCGGCAATCGCTTTCAAGATTAATTTTTGCTTCCTCTTTGACAGATCCACGAATTATTGCACAGTGATTTGGAATTTTCTCACGGGTCTCCAGAGAAATTGGCCTCATTTATATACAGTATTTATTTTTTTCCCCTCACAAACAAAATCTTACAAAAACCGAGTGCCCAGTTTATTTACGTAAATCTTACATAGATATGCAAATATGTGAAAAACAGATGTTTGTGCTCACTAGTGAAATTGATGGACATATCATCAAAAGTTTAAAAAAGAAAAAAGATCGACGTAAAAGGAAATATTTGTTAATCATTTCCTCTATTGTTCAACGGTCAAGTATATTTGAAAGGACACTATATTAGGAGTATTAATTTCCATAATCACTACAAAAAAATATGTTAATTCTAGCGGTTATGGTGTTACATTTCTAGCGGTTTTAACCGCAACAAATAACATTTGTAGCGGTTAACGAAACCGCTAGAAAAACAGGTGTTAGAAAAAATTTCTAGCGGTTATCTCAACCGCTACACATCATGGTCAAAACGATAGAACATTTCTAGCGGTTAGGAACCGCTAGAAATTATCTGAAGGAGACACATTCCTAGCGGTTTTGTAACCGCTAGAAACCTGCTAAACGGGAATTAAATAATTTCAGTAGCGCGCGAAAATTACTAGCGGTTATAGAACCGCTAGAAATGTTTGGGAAATTAAATTTTCACACCAATTGAATTTTTAGAATGGCGGGAAACTTTTCTAGCGGTTCTTAACCGCTAGAAAGTTTGGCGCGAAATTTAAATTTGACGAAATATTTCTAGCGGTTCTGAACCGCTAGAAATGTTTACCGTGCCAGAAAAAAAAATTTATGGTTTTTCATATTATAATTTTAAAAACCATTAAATAAATTATTTTGAAGAATTTTTGTTAATTTGTATAATTAGTTATATGTTACATTTTATATATTCAAATTTTGTAATAAAAAATATGTAATTACATTATGAATGTGTTAAAAGAAGTGAATTTAATCTAATAAGATAATTTAATTGAATATTTAATAAGATAGTTGAATTAAAGATGATATATTTTGGAATATTGAACCTATAGTATTAAGTTGATGAGTATTTGAATCAGTTGAGGAGGGCATGACAAATGTGGAGAAGAAAAATCTGAAAGGAAAGGAGAAATAAATATGTTAGTAAATTTTAAATAAAAACAAATAAAAGATACAACGAATTATAAAATAAAATTCACTTACCATAGAGTAAAGAGAGAAAAACCACAATATGAGATAGTAAGAAAAAAAGAGAGAATTATGAAGAAGAATAGGAGAGGAAGGAAAAGAGATGGAGTAAATGAATGTAGAGAAGATATGGTATTTATAGAGATCAGCGACACATTTGTAGCGGTGTTTTTGTAGCGTTTTATAACTTTTTGTAGCTGTTATTCATTTTGTAGCGTATATAAAAGCGCTAGTAATTAGTAGCGGTTACATATGTAGCGGTTATTAACCGCTAGAAATTTAGTATTTTTTATTTTTAAAATCTGAACGAATTATAATTTACAGGTATGTATTTTGTAGCGGTTCATAACCGCTACAAATTTTTTCACGAAATTGTAATTTGTAGCGGTTATGAACCGCTACAAATTACAATTTCGTGAAAAAATTTGTAGCGGTTATGAACCGCTACAAATGAAAATTTTTTTATTTTTAAAAAAATTTTACGAATTTTAATTTATACATATGTATTTATGGACGAAAAATTTGTTAAATAATTTATTTTGGATGTTGCTACTCTCCATCATCATCCGGCCTGAAAGGACATATTTTAAAAAAATTTGTTAAATTTATGTTGTATTTGGAAAAAATTAGTAATTAGTAGTTAATTATTTAAATAATTTAAGAAAAGACGTGTACCTGATAAGTGGCAAATTATCATCTCCTTGAGGAAAGAAGTCTTCAAAATTCGAGGGTTGGAAGGGTTCACTGTCGTAAATAATGTCACCATCACCCATATCGTAAAGATCCCGTGGCTTGAGGTGAACGACCATATTCCAGTCTTTATATTTCTCGTCCTCGACATAGTAAATTTGGTGTGCCTCAGAAGCAAGGATATATGGCTCATCATCTTCAGATGCCCCCGTATGAATAAGTCTTGAGAAATTGACTGAGGTGATGCCCAAATGGTCAGTAGCGAGTCCCCGTGAAGTTGTCGTATTTGCCCAGGAGCATTTGAACAGTGTCACGGTGAAAAGCTGGTAAGTCAACTCAATAATGTCAATTAGCTTTCCATAGTAAGTGACGCCTCCAAAGCGCATATCGCCATCACTACTGCTAGCATAACATCTCGTTCCGAATGTCTCGCAAACTCCAGAGTTTTGTGTGAGCAATCCCTGATCACGTGCAACCGTACAGAACTTGAAGCCGTTGACATTGTACGCGGTAAACCTCCGTGCATGGTCTAACGGACCGAGAGAAAGAGCTCTGAATTCATCTGTGTATGGGCTGTTGTCATTACGTATTCGACGTGTAAACCAACTGGGAAACTCTTTGTGGACTCTTTTATCAATGTCAGCAGAACGCGCACGGCCCCGTAGCTGACGCCTGAGATAACTCCTAAACTCACTATAGTAAAGTGTAATTTGTTAGAAGAGTCAGTAAGAAACAAATATAAAGTGTAAAAGCTAGTGAGCTTATATGATATATATACTTACTGCATGAAGGGTTCAACTTGGCTGCAATTTATCAAAACGTGTCTGTGTGCCTGGAGTTTCTCTGTAGGAGTGAGTCTGAAGAATTCATATCCTCCAACTGGTTTCCCAACAGGAGGAAATAAAGTTGACGTGGAAGGACCGGGAGGAGAATCATCTACGCGACGCGGGCGGTTAAAAGATGTCTCCATGTCATCAAAGTACCTCGAACAGAAAGTTAGGACCTCATCTCCGGAATAACCTTCTGCTATTGACCCCTCAGGCCATGCCTTATTCCTAACATATGATTTTAATTTTCCCAAGTACCTGTAAGTTAAAATTGCATTAATAATTACGAGTAAATGAAAGAACAA